AAACAATCTGGTTTATTTTATTTTCATGCAGTTGGCATGTATTATAAAATAAAATAAATATTTCTATATATATATATATATATATATATATATTAATTTTTCAAATTAAATTTTAGTGTTTTTGTCCAAAAAATGAAGGAGCAATAGCATAAATTCATTTAATATAATGGGTACATTAATTTCGCGAACGATGCGATAAATTTCCTTTAACTTTGTAGTTTGAAAATGCAGAGAGGGATGAAAAACTAGATAAATATATATATATATATATATATATATATGTGTGTGTATGTGTGTATATTATATATAAAATTCTTCTGTAATGATGTATTATAAAAATAAAATAATATTGTAGAAATAAATGGAAAAATTGCAAAAATAACATGTCATTGTTTGACATTGAAAACAAATGAAAACTGACATCTGCCAAAAATTGTAATTTACTTATGAGCCTAGACAATATTAAAATATGTATAATAAATTCATAGGATATTAAAATCATAAATAATAGGATATTAAAAAATTGTAAATGTAGATACAGGCCGTCTGTCGGGTCATCTAGTATATATATATGAGTTATTTTTAATTGTATGCGTATTTTTGATCTGTAAAACTGCTTGATGCAAAAAGCTAGTTTGACTGAGCGCCCCTTACGTTTTATACGATAGATATATATAAACATCTAAATAATTTAAATATTTTATGTTTTTTGCGAAAAAACACTGTATTTTAGCATATTTGCTTTGTACTAAAATAACCACAATAATATCATCAATTTTAGTATTTGTTGTCTTAGAAAATATATCAAAGATTAACATATTTGAATAGCAAATGGTTAATGGTACATATTTTTATTAATAAACCATTAATATCTCACGAAGAGCAAAAAATGTCATCAATTTTAGTATTTGTCATCATAACATATATAAAAGTATAATATATTAGAATTACAATAATTTATTACTTTCGGTACTTCCCAAGAAGCTCTTTAACCCTTTTCACTTTCAAATGTCGCCGGAGCGGCGGCATCCGAGTAGAAAGGGTTAAATATAAATAAAGAATGATTTCCTATTTCACCCTCAGTGTACGATCCTGTTTATTTCTTTATTACTTTATTTCTTATTTTAATTTGCATGCATTTTGTCGCCGAAGCGGCGGCATCCGAGTGGAAAGGGTTAAATATAAATTAAAAAATATTCCCTATTTCACCCTCAGTGTACGATACTGTTTATTTCTTACTACTTTATTTCTTTCTTAATCCTTTTAGAATTATGTTAACAGGAAAGTTTACTAAAATGTACTGAGTTTCCCTGAAAAATCCTTCCTGGACTTTTGCCAAAAAATATTGCAAAGCTCCACTTCTTTATTATGCGAAACAAAAAAAACTTCTTGTGTACATGGATGATGTTATGAAATTGTATAGGAACATTTTGTTTTTAATAAAAAAAATCAGCATGCACTTGCATTTGGCTAACTTCGTTCTGGTGAAATTCCGAATTTGCAAGTTGGCAATGTTGGGAAGCTATCAACGAACGAAATGTCGCGTGTCAAATGTCAATGAATAATGATTTAATGATTTATAAAATTTAATATATTATTAAAAAAAAATCTTGTCTTGTTTCTTTTTCAGAAAATTCGACTTGGTGATTTTTTGTGTTTTCGATGTGTCAAGTTATTCTGAATCGTTTGTCATCTGATGATTTATTTTAAAAAAAACTGCAATAACAATTTTAAAAGGCATTTGATGAAACTCGATGAGGTAAAATAAAATTTGACTTGGAAATTCCCTGTTTTCTCGACGTTTATTCTGAAACGTTTGTCATCTGATGATTTCTTAAAAAACAACTGGAATAACGATTTTAAAAGGCATTTGATGAAGGACTCACGTTGATTAGTAGATTATTACAAAAGTTTTCAATGTCAAAATTCAAGAACCAAATTTGAAATTCAAAAACTGTACGAAAGATATATGATAGCAATCGTACTGACACACACCTGTTTACATGTCACTTACACCTAATTTAATTTATATCCTTTAAAATAATTAGTTAATTTAAATTATATTATTATATTTGTCAATGGAATTTATTTTTATTAATGTATAGAATGAAATAAAGTACATGAATGATGTTATGAAATTTTATAGAAACATTTTGTTTTTAATAAAAAAAACAGTATGCACTTGCATTTGGCTAACTTCGCTCTGGTAAAATTTCGATTTTGCAAGTTGGCAATGTTGTGAAGTTATCAACAAACGAGATGTCAGGTAATAATAAATTAATAATTTATAAAACTTAAAATATTATTGACTTCTCAAAAAAAGTTTTTTTTTCAGAAAATTTAACTTGGTAATTTCCTGTTTTCTCGACGGGTCAAGTTATTCTGAATCGTTTGTCATCTGATGATTTCTTTAAAAAAAAAAACTGCAATACCGATTTTAAAATGCATTTGATGAAACTCAATAAGGTAAAATAAAATTTGACTTGGTAATTTCCTGTTTTCCCGATTATGAATCTTTGTTATCTGATGGTTTCTTCATAAGAAAAGCTGCCATAACAATTTTAAAATGCATTTGATGAAGGATTCACGTTGATTAGTAGATTATTACAAAAAATTTCAACGTCGGAAAAAATCGTGAACCAAATTTGAAATTTAAAAATTGTTCGAAATATGTTTGTTTGGAATCGTACTGACATACATCTGCCACTTACACCTAGTTTAATGTATATAATTTTAACTAATTAGTTAATTTGCATTATATTGTTATATTTGTCAATGAAATATATTTTTATTAATGTATAGAATTATTATCTGAAACAGGAAATAAAAAGTTGGATTTATCAAAACTATTTTTCAATTTCAACACGACAAATATCCTGCTGCAGAAGGTCAGCACACACATAATAAATTACACACACACATTTCTAAAATAAAATACTGAAATTGATAATCATCAATTGATAATTGATTTGTATTGTTAATTTTTTTTGATAAGTATGTTTTTACAAGAAATACTAATATTGATGATATTTAACGTAATTTTGATTCAAATAATTTAAACAATTTGTACAATGCACTTGCATTTGGCTAGCTTCATTCTGGTGAAATGTATGGTGAAATGATTTTTGAAGTTGGCAATGTTACGAAGTTATCAACGAACGAAATGTCAAGCAATAAAATCATGAAAAATAAATTAATAAATTATAAAACTTGAAAATATTATAATAATTTATCAAAAAAAGTTTATTTTTACCAGAAACTGCTCATTTCCATTGAGACAAATACTAAAATTTATTATCTATTGTTGAATATTGGTGATTTTATTAAAAACATTTTTACTACAACTGTTTGTAACTTATAAAAGTTGATTTTTATAAGTATGCTATGCCAACAAATACTAAAATTGATGATATTTATCGAAATTTTGATTCAAATGATTTAAACAATTTGAACAATGCACTTGCATTTGGCTAACTTCATTTTGGTAAAATTTCGAATTGGCAAGTTGGCAATGTTACGAAGTTATCCACGAATGAAATGTCGGGCAATGAATTTACTTATATATAAAATTCTTCTGTACGGGTGTATGATTTGATACTTCTCCTAAACGTTTATTCAGATTTTGATAATTCTTTTTAGAGTATGTCGAAGGATTTTTTTAAGATTTTATGAACTATAAAATAATAGTAATAATGTAGAAATAAATGGCAGAAATTACAAAAAAACACTATCTTTGTTTGACATTGAAAACATTTGAACTGTCATCTGTTAGAAATGTCAATTCACTTGAAATTTGAATTTAGCTGAAACTATGAGCCAAGATAATATTAGAATATAATATACAAAAAAAAATTAATGTTTACATTTTTATTGTCGAAAAGCAGCTGAGATGTGCCAGAAATTAAAATAATATAAGATACAGTCAACAGTATATGTTTGGCAGATGAAATTATATATAAATAATAAATAACGCAAAAGTCCAAAATTGCATATACATTATTGTTTTAAACTTAGGCATGTCGCAATTTGGTTTACTCTACTATATTATTTAACAATACAAAAAAAATATTCCTACTTATTAAAAATATGATTTAGAATTTTGTTTCATGTGTCAAAAATTCATTTGTTAGGCATTGGATATGGAATATTTAGTAAGTTGATCTTAGATTGGATAGTGCACATCTGAACTAGATTTTACAAATTAATTCACCTAAGATTTGAACATTAACAATAATATTTATTAAATTAATAGTAAGAAAAATGTACTTTAGAAATTATAATTGCCAAAAAGCAACTAATATATCGTACAAGATTATGAAAATTATAGACTAAATTATTAAAGCAATTATTTTGTGTAGTAAAATCAAGTGTGTTCTTTTACCGCAGATACTATATTATTTTTTTCTGGATTTCGTATACTGCATATGCTAAGACCATAAATGAATCACGAAGACAGGACATCAAGTAGGATATTAAAAAGTATAAGATAAGATATTAAAAAATTGGAACTTTCGAATTGTAGACGTGGGTACAGGACAACGTCTGTCGGGTCACCTAGTATATATATACATATTTCTGTTTTGTACAGTTTGTGTTTGGTCTGTTTCTTTTTATTAGATAAAACTGTTTTGAGAAACTTGTAAGATTAGTGCATAGAGTAATGGACGACCTCCTGACCTGTTATGCATTTATTATTTCTATATATAATACAATACACAATAAATATTTATTTGTACATGTACATACATACATACATACATATTTATATATATATATATATATATACATATATATATTTGTATATATGTACATATATACACATATATTTATGCATATAAGTATACCTACTTACACATACAGATAATATGCAAACTGCCTTACCTTTTATATAATTGTTATTATACAAAAAGGACAATTTTGTTTTTATTAGTATACACACCTAGTTACTTTAAATGAAAGTAACAGTAAAATTAAAGTCTTTATTTATGATCAAAACTCACCTTACAAATGCATTTGAAACAGTTCATATCCTTGATGGATTCCACTGGAACAATTTCGCCTTCGTTGGAACAAGGCTCACGACTTCCATCTGGAATAAAATAAAATAAAATATTATCAACACTTAAATGTATTATATTTTAGTATTATTTTATATTTACAGTTGGATACAGTTGGATTTATTTATAAAACCAGCTGTAAGTAGCATATAGTCTTAAAGCAAGTATGACGAAAGTTTGATTAAGAGAGGGAATTGTAGAGATCTAGAGCCTCCCCCCATAAAGTAATGCGGAGGTTTTAGTTAGTATTATTACCTTCCCGTAAGACACGTTATAGAAGTCGCAAAAAAAATCAAAAATGAAATTTTTTATATATCTTTACGTTTCAAAGGTTTCTGAACATTTTGGCATACCTTAGAAAAAATGAATGCATGTGTGTGTGTATGTGTTTTTGTGTGTGTGTGCGCGCGGATACAAATTTTCGTCGACGATTTCTGGATCAACCAATTTGAATAATTCATAAAATATTCGATTCATATTGATAAGGAGACGTGCTGATTAGTTTTTGGCGAAGGCAGGTCTAGCCGTTCCGAAGATACGGGGCAAAAAGTGCCAATAACGGTAACTCAGTTTTTAAGAGAACGGAGCGCCCCATTCTAATAATTCAAAAAACATTTTACTTGTATTGATGAAATACTGATTAAATTTTTGTGAAGGCAGGTCCAGCGGTTATGGACTTTCAATAAAAATAAGTTAAAAAAATGTCATTTGGCGGTCAAAAATGTTTATTAGACTTATGCGCATCAAATTATCAGATGTTTTATAGAGGTTTTCATAATGTGTACACATTTTGTGTATTTTTTTTGGGTTCCGTACCAGATTTTTGATTAGGGTACAGGAAGTACCAGCAATTTGCCTTAAGGCACGATGACATTCACCCCACTAATTTATGATGAGCTCAATTGACTTAACCAGACAAAAGACCTAGTCTGGTATGAGTAAATGCATTTCCTTCGCTTTATAAAAAAAACACACTCACACATACTTTGGGTCTCATTCGATTCAGAACGACTTGAAACGTCGAAAAAACATTAAATTAACAAGTTGGATTTTTTCACAAAAACAAAACTAAATTTTAAAATCCTGATAAATATTATACATAACCTGACAAAAGACCTAGTCTGGTATGCGTAAATGCATTTCCTTAACTTTATAAAAAAAACACACTCACGCATACTTTTGGTCTTATTCGATTCAGAACGACTTGAAAAGTCGAGAAAATATAAAATTAACAAATTGGATTTTTCCACAAAAACAAAACTAAATTTTAATATACTGATAAATATTATACATAACTTGACAAAAGACCTAGTCTGGTATGCGTAGATGCATTTTCTTCGCTTTATAAAAAAACACACACACATACGTACTTGTGGACTCATTCGATTCAGAACGACTTGAAACGTCGAAAGAACACAAAATTAACAAACTGAATTTTTTCACAAAAACGAAACTAAATTTTAAAATACTGATAAATATTATACATAGCCTGACAAAAAACCTAGTCTGGTATGCGTAAATGCAATTTCTTCGGTTTATAAAAAAACACACGCATATACTTTTGGTCTCGTTCCATTCAGAACGATTTGAAACGGCTAGAAAACATGAAATTAACAAATCTGATTTTTTCAAAAGAATAAAACTGAATTTCAAAACGGCTGGACATGTCTTTGCCAAAAACTAATCACCACTTATCCTCATCATTACGAATTGAATGTTTTTAGAATCATTCAAATCGGATGCTCCGCGATTTCAAAAACTCGATTTTTATTTTCTGCACTCTTTGCTTCGTATCTCCGAAACGGCTGGACTGCCTTTGCCAAAAACTAAACAGCACGTCTCCCCATCAGTAGGAATCGAATGTTTTTTGAATACTTCAAATCGGTTGATCTGGGCGCCCGAAAATGTGGACGAAAAATTGTATCCACACAAAAGACACATACACACATCCATTTTTTCTGAGACATGCCAAATTGTTCAAAAACCTCTGAAACGTGAAGATATGCAAAAATTTTCATTTTCGATTATTAGACAATTACAATAACTTACCCTACGCAAAGTTAAAAAATGTTTTTCGCAAAAGGGAAAGTTTATATAAGTTGTCTTAAGGCAAAATGCCACTTAGACCTAGTTCCATTTTAAACTTCTTCGAGTTTCCGCATAAAACGAACAATCATCCACGTCATCCCTCACCGCCCCCTTACAGAATTTTATGACATGCAATAAAACAAATAATGTACGAAACTACAAGAGGAACTCTCTATATATATATTGGTAGGGGGGTCCACTACAAGAGGAGCCCTCCGAGTGTACTGGGGGGCTCTCTGGCTCCCCCCGTATCGAATGTCTAGCGTGGGCGGTAGTCCTCGAGTAGCAGAAATGATTTAATCAATTCAGACACATAAAATAATTCTGCTAAGGGGGCAAATGAATATATAAGGTTTATGGTTTGCTATAAAATGCGCTAATGGGGCTACGATCGATTGACGGAGGACTAGTTTTATGAATGGAAGTTGGATAATAAAGTTGGTTCATATTTTATTTGAATTATTAAATTATTGCCTTGTTCTAGAACCACAAAACTTTTTAATTGATATATAAATATAAGAACACTTTGACAGTTAACGTCCGCCATTTTGATTCTGATTGTACAAAAATTGATATTGAAGTTTTATGAATTATTTTAGATTTTAGAAAACAAAATTTGCATAAATAAATAATTATTATAAGTAATAACTAGCATAAATAAATAATAAATAATAAGTATTCACTTTATTAACAACATTCTATTTAAAAAAAATATTCACGCAAATTTTAAAATTTGAACAATTTTCAAAGTTGAAAGTTTTGAATTTGATTTTGACAGTTTTAATATATCAATTATTAACTTGTTATGAAACTACAAAAACATTTAGTTGATATATAAAGATAAAACATTGACAGAATTAATTATTATTTATAAAACAATTCACTTCTTCCCACTTTGACAGTTAACGTCCGCCATTTTGATTTCGCTTGCAAAAAAAATAATAATTTGAAATATTTTTGTAATTAAAATGACAAATTTGTTAAAAATATTATATTAATTTACAAAAAATAGGCTAAGTACAATATTTTAACAAAACAACAATTTTTGCAATATCTCGAGTACTTAAATTCCTTTAGATTATTTTGAAGTTTGAAGTTTTGAAGTTTGCGCCAAGAATACAAACTTTGCATAAATTAATAATAAATATAAGTGATAACTAGCATGAATAAATAATAAATAATAAGTATTCGTTAGTAGTCAATATAGTAATATTTTACATAATTATTAACTTATTTCACAAAAAAAATATTCGCGCAAAATTTAAAACAATTTTTAAAGTTGAAAAGTTGCAAGTTTTGAATTTGATTTTAACAGTTTAAATATATCAATTATTAACTTGTTCTACTAAAACCACAAAAACATTTAAATAAAGTATAAATTAATTGTAATTAATTAACATTAATAGAACTATTTCTTTTTTAGAAAACTATTCTCTTTATTTCAATTTTAACAGTTAACGTTCGCTATTTTGATTCCAATTCCGCAAAAATAATTTAATATTTTAAAATGGCGAATTTGTCAAAAATATATATTTTAATTTACAAAAAACATGCTAAGTACAATTATTTATCATAACAATAACTTTTACAAGATCTCAAATATTATTTAACTTTTAAAGTTGAAAAGTTGAAAGTCTATAATTTGATTTTAACAGTTTTAATATATGAATTATTAACTTGTTTTAGAACCACAAAAACATTTAATTGATATATAAATATAAAACATTGATAAAACTAATTATTTTTATAAAACAATTCACTTCTTTCAACTTTGACAGTTAACGTCCGCCATTTTGAGTGCAATTCTGCAAAAATAATTTAATATTTTAAAATGGCGAGTTTGTTAAAAATATTATTTTAAATAACAAAAAACAGGCTAAGTACAATATTTTATCAAAACAGCCATTTTTGCAATACTTGTGTACTTGAAGTTTTGAATTAGTTTATTTTGACTGATTATTAACGAATTAGTTTACGTTTTAAAATACGAAATTTGCATAAATAAATAGTAAATCATAAAGTAATAATTAGCATAAATAAATATTAAATAATAAGTAATAAATAATTAGTAGGCAATATATGAGAACTTTACTAAATTTATTTATTTTATTATTTATATTTTAGAAAATTTAAAACAATTTTAACAATTCCGCCATATTGAATTTGATTTTGACATGTGCCATTAACAAAAATAATTTTATATCGTAAATTATATTTTATAATATATATGTATGTAAATGTATTATATTATTATTATTATATTTTCCCAACAGGTTCGACAAAAAATTGATTTTCAAATATTTATTCTTGTAATCGATAGTTTTGAAATTATCGATAAAACAATGGCGTCAGACCAAACACAATGGACTCTAAACGTTTGGCTAAATAAAATATAAATATTATTTGTTTTAAAACTTTATTTAAATGCATTTCTTCGATCCGATAATTAACAATCAATATTGTTCGTATTGTTTGTAAACGGTAAATTTCCGTGTATTTTTTCCAATGGAAAAAGTTATATAAGATTAAGATTATATAAATACAGTAAAAATCTCGGTAAAACGATTTACAAAAACGTGTCTTATGTTGGAGCTATGTGCTCAAATCAGAAGATTCAGGTGCGTCACTACTGCTTGATGTCAAGCAGTAGTGACATCAATTTTCACTTGAAAATAATTATTGCAATATATTTTCAAGTGACCTTACCCGGCACAGATGCAACATTGATAAAGTTATCAGCATTGCAGAAATTGTAATAATAATTTTGTCACATAATGGTAGGACAACCATTTGGGTTGCCATCTTTAAAAATCACTTGGTTTAAGAGTTAAGAGTAAATTGAAAATATATTTTAAAAAAAATATAAAATGTCCTAATACGCTCCTGTCTATGTATATATTTACATAAGGATTTAATCTTTTGGGGATATCCCATGAATGAAAACGCTGCGAATATACATGTGTATATATATATATATATATATATATATATATATATTACATATTCAAGTGTATTTGTACAAAAGTAATCTATATATACATTTATCAAAATATATATGTTTTACGATGACAGCCCACTAAAGTTATGAATTGTATGTTTAGTCTAAAAAAATATTGCGAGAACGAAATCTGCCTTAGTCATCGCAAATATTAATATATACACATATATACATTTATATACATATATATATATTGAAAATACATTGAAAATTTTAACTAAATATCTAAATCTCAGTTCTGATTGGTTAAAATGATTATTCAGCAAGTTCGTACAACTTGACTTAAGAAAAATGCCACTTACACCTAGTTAAGTAACTCTTTACCGAACAATAACTTAGTTTATTTTCCGTCTAACTTTTAAAACGAAGCAGATACATTTATTTTATATTCTCTAGAATAATATTTATGCTCCAATTTCCAATTTTCAATGCGATTTCATCGAATCAAGGTTATGGCGTTACAAGTGGAAAGATTTCACTTACAATTAGATTTCTAGGAAAAATATAAAGGATTTGTTTAGAAAAAAAAACTTGGGAAATTAGTTGTAAGTGGCATTTTGCATTGAGGTGAGTTGAATGAACTTAGGTACGAATTGAGATTAGGACATGCACAGTAACCTTTTTTCGCAAACCTATAATATTTTATTATGTTCGTTTAGGTTTAAACCACGAATTCTATCACTGTGCAAAGTTTCATTAAAATCGTCAAAAAAACTATTTTCCAGCAAATAATTACAAAGTATGATAATAAAAAACTTATATAAAATCACTTGTAGATCTAATCGTGAAATAATCCAAAAATTACATTTAATGCTTAAAAATTTTCTTTTGGGTCCGCCACCTAGGGGTTTTTTTAGGCAGCCATTTAGAATTTTTGGCAGCCATTTTAAGTTAGGCAGCCATTTGTATAGAATTATTTTCCATTATTAAAACAGTTAAGTATTCTAAAAATTATATTCAAAGCATAAAAAGTTTTTTTTTAGATCCGCCACCTAGAGTTATTTTTTTGACAGTCGTTTACAATTTTTGGCTGCCATTTTAAATTAGGCAGGCATTTGCATAAAATTATGTTACGTTTTTTATATTATTAACAGTTAAATATTCCATAAATTATATTGATAGCCTAAAAATTTTCTTTTGGGACTGCCACCTAACGTTTTTAATTTGGCAGCCATTTAGAATTTTTGGCAGCCATTTATGAGTTAAGCAGCCATTTGCATGAAATTATTTTCTTTTATTAACAGTTAAATATTCGCAAAATTATATTTAAAGAAACCACACATTTAGTAAATTGGATTTCCTGGCAAGAATAAACTTCTTCTTGGAGAAGTTAATAACTTTTATAATAAATTTATGAATTGATATTTATATTTACCTATTCCGACTCTGCTTTCTGCGCTTGTTGAACAAATTATTGACAAAAGGATTAAAATCGTCATGAAGAAGAACCCTAAAGGGTTCCGTACAATCCGTAATCCTAAGAGAGATAAATCCATGCCGGCGTCTTCTTTCATTTGACATCATTCTGAAATAAAAAGATAATATAATAACAATAATATATAAATAACTTTTTTTTGAAGTTCTGAAACTATCTATGTCCCATTTTCAAGTTTTCTATTAAATACACAATTAAAGCATATGGCAACACTGAACATTGATAATAGGCTATATTCATTACACACTTTGACAAATACATAAATATAGTTGTATCTAAACCCAAATCATTATAAATGCTTTTTAAAAATGTTTTATTTATTTTAGATGTTTTGCAAATATGTTTGTGTCATATTCAGTCAATTGTTGTTCCATATAGCACAAAAAATATTGATAATAGGCTATGTTCATTACACACATAAAGATTGATAAAAGGCTATATTCATTACACACTTTGATAGATACAAAAATAATTTCATCTGAAGTCAAAACATAGTTTTTTATTGTTTTATTCATATTCGACGTTTCGGAACTAAGTTTGTGTCACCTTTAAGTAATTTATTTAAAATTTTAATTGCAAACATTGATTAATAATTGAAATATAGACGTGTTAACATTTACAATAAACTTCCGTTCAGTTTTAACTAAAACTATTTTATTATAATTTAATAAATATTATTAAGGTTTTGATATTAATTTTACTAAAACTAACTAAAGAATAAATATCGTTAGAATTTTATATAAATATTATCTTGGAATCAAGATTTATACATAAACTTGTATTAATCAGTTTTACTAAACTCCATTTTTATTGACAGATGTCAATTTTGTAATTGTCAATTAATAATGTTTCAAGTAAGATGTATTATATGTTAAATATAGAGTCAAAATAATAATTACTAAAGTGTAAATTTAGTTTAGCAAGTGTTTGTATTATTAGTTTTTAATAAATATTTATTAAATAGATATAAAAAAACTAGAAATACAAAAACAAAATGGCGGCACGTTTAAATATCAAAAAGTTTTTGACAGAAAAAAATAGTTTTTTTTAAATTGTGAACAAGTATTTAAAAATAAATTATATATATATATATATATATAATTTGTTTAAAATTTATTAATAATATTTATTATAATTTTTATATAAAGCGAATATGAAAAACAAAATGTCGGCAACCGCCATGTTTTTTTTAACAATTATTTTGCAAAAAAAATTATATTATTATAAATGTGTTTGTGTCTTTTATCTTTATTTTATGAATGAAATGAGTAATTTGAAAAGCGCATGAATTATTATTCCGAGAAGCTAAATAGATCATAAAACAAAACCACAAATTATTTGAGAAAAAAATAGATTTGCATTTGTCATACGCGCACGAGTTGGAAATGTGAATCATTTTCTGAGAAGCATTCGCAGATAAAATTATGTCAAATATATTTATAAATGTATATATAACATTTTTTAATTAAACGTTTTGACACTTAATCCATGTCATCTCAGCCACTACTAAAATATTTAAATTACAAAAAATGACATGTGTCAAAAATTTTGAAAAACTCTTTTGAATTAAATATTTTTCAATTAAAAGTCGATTATGTTTATTCAAATTTTCCTTAAGGCAAATTGCCACTAACGCCTAGCTTTATATTATAATTCAACCCAGGTAGTCGTATCCTTTTTTATTTCCTTCAAGGAGGTCTTTATGACCCTTAGGACAACAATGGACAAGTACTTGACGCGATCGTTAAATTTTGACATCACAATAGATAATCAGGTTTAATATTTAAATGGACTTTTTACAGGGCCGCATTAGGGGTAAAATAAAAATGAAATGGTAAATGGTAATAAATCTAAATATTATTTGAAAAGTAAAAAATTGAAACCAAAATCAAAATAATACTAGAAGTATTATAAATTATTAAATAAAACGTTAATAAATTAGATGAAAATAACTAAATAAGATTAAAATGGTTCTATAGATAAATCTAAGTGATATTTGAAACACAACAATGTGAACTAAAAAAATAATAATAATACTTGAAGAAGGATAGAAAAAAGTGGCTAACACTATGATTAAATAAAGATTCATGAATTAATAAATAGTATTTTTGAAACAAAAAATGTAAATAAATTCAAAATATTTCCGAACGTAAAACGAAAATCGTATATTGAACAATTAAATAAAGTAATAATAAGATTTATTTAATAATAAGATTTATTTAATAATAATAAATGTATTTTGTCAATTTACCGAAATAGACAAGTGTGTCCGCACCCTTAGATTAGTATTTTGTATGGAAATTTGATAAGGCAGTGGGCACATGGGCGGATTTATTGACATTAACAATATAATATAAATAATGTCATATAAATGTAACATAATGTAACATATAAATTGTTATGAGAACTTTATAAAAAGTCATAACTTCAAAATAAAATTATGAATTGAAAAATTGAAAAACTTAGACAAAAACTGAACCCTGAAGACGACGTGTATTAAAAGACGAAACATAAGACATTTTTTAAATAGTTTTAAAATTATTTTATACCCTGATAATGATTTGAATTAAATATCTAAACATTCGTTATATTTTAGTCATAAAATATAAATATTTCTTCTTCTTTGTCAAAAATTGAACCCTGATGAACGGATGATCTAAAGTGAAGTTAGAAAATTTTATATTATTTGAGTATCAGAGGATGACATTAATTAAATATCGAAACGTTCAAATAAAAATATATGATTTTAGTATCACTTCAGACCAATCAGATCTTCGAAAACAGTATTACCAACATTCAAATATTAACATTTAAGTTAGGAATGAAGTGTGGTCAGATAAAAAAAGTGTTACCAACATTAACTATTTTTTTATTTATCTATTGAAGTTTGCACAAAATTAACCAAGATCTGAAGACGTAGAAAAATAGTATTTTCAAACAAACGCGTAAAATAAGCTAATAATATTTTACGAGATTTTTTTTTTGATTTATCTAAAAATTCTGGATCTTGATGATGACTTAAACTAGTATGCAAAATGTTTTAAAATAAAATTCTAATAAAATATTAACAGTCATTATTCATAAATCTCGTCTTTATCAGTGTTCATTTTTTTGTAGAATTTCAATTTTCTGATTTTTTTTGTGAATTAAAAATCGAAACGTCGGACAATTTCCCTGCTCCTCCTCCTTCCTCGTCGGTCAATTTATCACGATCCCATTATCCCTGTCTAGACATAAGGGGCAATATAAAAATAAAAAGGAACAAAAGGAAACGGTACGTGGACCTCACAGGGTCCCGAAATAATTACAAAATAGGTAGTAGCCCGAGGAGAGCCCCCTTGGCCGATGATGACTGTTTACATTTTTATAATTTTCAAAAAGGACCTCCGATCCGATCAGATAAGGTTTTATGAATTGAGTTATTTATGATCGTGAGACACGGACACGTAAGTGGGATGCGACAGGATGTGACGACGGCGAATGTGATTTTTCGGGGAATTAAAATGATAATTTGAGGTTAGGATTAATGGATTTTTTTCACTCTTTTCCGTATTTTAAAAATAAGTACACGACATAACTTAAATTCTTCTCTATATGTTATCTTATGTTTAAATTGATATTTTTCAACTCACCATTAAAATCCTCTCCATGTGCATATTCTTTCACTTTTTTTAAAATCACTTTTAATTTAATTTAACAGTCACTAAAATTAACAGTTTTTAGATAAAAATTTAACATTTTGGCCGAATTACAGTTTTCTCGTCGCCATATTGGCCGCCATGATTGATTTCATACGTACACAACTTCACTATGGATAATAAATTTATTAATTTATTTATTTATATATTAATTATTTAATTTATATATTAACTATTTAATTTTAATTACATGATGTTAATTAATTTTTGGAAAATAATAAATTTTATTTATAATTACATAAAAAAATTAACCAGTGTTACAAACTACTATTTTTTAAATGTATTAAAATAAGTGCAATATTATTTATAGAAATTTAATATATCTGAAGATCGTGCAATGAAATACAATGTATCAATTGAAAAATCAATATGTTGCCAATAATAACTTTACCAATATTACCAACATTAACTTTTTTTTTTAATATTTTGAAATATAAATAAAATAAATTTAATGGGTGTACTGTTTTAGGGCGATTCAGGTAAGAATAAGTGAGATTTTCAATTGCCATATCACACCGCAGTGCCTTCGAAATGGACTTATTTTCAATTCGAAACATATTTTTGATCTATATTTTCAAGTGAAATTTGACATCTCTGTTGCCCGATGTCAGATTGCTATAGCGGGGGCTTGATTTTGAAATATATAAAATATTAATTCAAATTTTAAGTTGTCATAAAATTACGCATAAAAATTGAATTAAGCAAAATTTTAACAATGTTAACCATTATCTGAAGATGTCGTAAAATGTTATATCAAAACATATGCAAATGCAATCAGTTATGTTGTTAGTGTTGTCAATGTTAAAATAATAATACTTGAAATAGAAATATGTAATAATTATTAAAATAGTAAAGACAAACTTCATGGCACTTCTATAAAAGCATTTTTAACCAACGTGAAATGACTAAAATATGAAACAATACCAACGTAAGAAAAAAAACTAAAAGTTGTACATTCAAAGTACACGAAACTACGTTAATAAATTAGATAAAAATATCAAAATAGGAAATAATAAGGGTTCTGCATTATAATAATTTTAAGCTTTTAAATAAATATATTAAATCATTTAATTATGTCAAATTTATTTTTCCGTAACGTAGAAGTGTAACGAATCATTTTTATAGTCAAATTAAATTATTAAACAGTTCGAATAATTGTTTTACATAAATATTCAAGTTATAACAATAATAAAATAATAAAATCGAACGATTTGAATGTGAATAAAATAAATTAAATCAAATGATAAAATTATTATGTGCATGGTTTTTTATTGATTAATTAAATTGTTATTGAGTTCAGAGTAAATTAAATTACATGCTTAAAAA